TATGGTTAAATGGATGATGATAAGGTTGCCACAATGAATACCTGATATGGTTATTAATGTTTGCACCTTGATAAAATGATTGCTTAGTACAGGTGCTAATATAGGTGACAGGTTAATGGGTAAAAAGTCACTGCTAGTCCAGGCTAAGATTTGATCATTATTACTTATGCTTTTCTGCAAAAAGAAAGTATCAACCAGATCCACTACATTAAGCTTTGCATAATCCTTGGTGTCATTTATTTTGGTTTCTGGCGGGTAAGTCTAGCTGAGTACATTCCCGTACTCAGGGTTTATTTCCCTCTTGTTGCAGATGACCTTCTATATCAGGGATTCTGTAAGTATTGTCTCCACCCGGCGGGTGATGAAGACTAGATCATGGGCATGATCTCTGTTCCCTTATCTGAATGCTTTTGCGGGCTGTGATCAGCGAACCAGTATGTGTATTTGAACTCGAGTGTGTGAGTTAAACTATTTGCTTCCGCATGTTTTACAAGACTTGTTTTGTAATAACGTTGACTCTGTGATGATGTAATCTATTTGCAAACGTCTGCGAAATGTTGTAACGTACGATATGTTATGTTGAATTACTGTGATCTTGGTTGTATGCAAGTTGGTTTGAAATCCTTCGAGATTTCAGTTGACTACCGGGTTTATATGGGCTCAAGTTCGAGAATTTGATCGTTTCGGCGATTGTTTTTGTACTTGTGCTCTTATAAATTGGTCGGTTCTGTGACAATAACTACAAGCGCAGATAAGGCAGGACACTCACGTCAACCGTAATACCGAGGACCATACCCTGCACGCCTATAGGAAAGTACCATTAGGATATGATAAGACGATCGCTTTAAGCCCCTTCTGGGCATGTCAGAGCCCGAACAGTGTTGTCAGCGTCGACATTTATTTTATAGTATTGTGGGCGCCGTCATTGGCCCTCGGGCGCGGGTCCTGACGGAACCATACGACAACCACTATGGTGCAAGAGAAGACTCACACCCTCTACAGTAACAGACGTGCAGTCACTACGTCATCCGCTCCCTGTGGGGTTGTGAATCAACACCCCGGTCCATTGCACCACCCGCCGGGGCGAGATGGGACGTGACCACTTGCTGATCAAGTCAGAGCATGGCATCATCAACGGTAGACGCCCAGCGTGGAGCTACCCCTGGCACCGTCTGCTGTGTCAGCACGGCTGGCTCAAAGAAAAAGGAAGACCTGGTGCCTTCGAAGGACCTTCTTTACCTCTGGTTTTTCTTCTTTGTCCCATCTGTAATCCCTGCTTCCCCTTGGTCTATAAAAGGGAAGGTAGGACACCCCCACTAAGGGGACCGATCGATTCAACACACCAGGCATCTCATCACACATAGCTGAGCAGCAACCAAGCTCTCAGCGCCCTTTCAACCTTTCCATCAGAGACTTGGGACCAGTCCCTCTCTCGCCCGTTTGTACCTCCTACTACGAACTTTTCAGTGCAAATAATACAAGCAGCAGCCGCGAACTGGACGTAGGGACATTCTGCCCGAACCAGTATAAACCGTGTGTCTTTTTAGCACACCATCCGGGCCGGACGCGCAATAATACAAATTTACTAGTTGGTGTTTACGTGAAACACCGATAGTTAAGTTAAGGGTAAAATGGTCATTTCACTCCTGACCGGAAAAAACTAAAATGCAGAGTTTAATTTGTCTTTTAAAAAAAAAAGAGGCGTACCTAATGCAGAGAGCTCCCGCTCTGTGTGGGGTCTAAGGAAATGTGTCAGTGGCAAGCCTTACCCTCGCCTGTGCAATACGAGGAGACCGCGACTCGAACCTAGGACTTTCTGGTCACAAGCGGTAAGACTCTACCGCTCGCACGAGGCCCGCCCTTCTTAATTTGTCTTTTTTAGATTTAGAGTAATATTGCGCAATAAGATCACACATAGATGGTACATAATAAGACACATAATCAGATACATTTATGTGTGTGACCTTATTTCACAATATTACTCTAAATTAAAAAAAACAATCTAAACTCTGTATTTTTTCTAAAGGGGTAAAATGATTATTTTATCCTTGACTTAATACCATTAAATGCTAGAAACGAACATAATGTCATAAAAAAAGACCATAAAAGGAAGACGCATTATTTTAAAGGTATATAGGTAAATGTTATCATAATAATACCCTCCTGAGAGCACACAAAAAGTCAGTTTATTTATATAAGTACATCTCGTTGTCTTCTACTGCAGAAAAGGCCTCCATGCGCGCGGCTGCAGTGCAGGTGCAGCGTCAGCGCTGCTAGTCGGCAGCGGACGGTGCCAAACTCGGCGACGGCGCGCCGGGAAGAGAACACCAGGTGCTGCCGCGGCGCGGATCGGAGCTTGTCCAGCTTATCCGCATGCTCCCGGGGCCCCGGCGGCAGGACACCGCGACGCGCATGTGCTGACGCAGACCCACGCGCGCCTCCTTTCACAGCGGCTGATGGTTTTTCAGCTAATAAGGTCCCGTTTAGTTCCCTCTCAAAATACTAAATTTTTCAAGATTCTTCGTCACATCGAATCTTTTTGAAGGTATGCATAAAGTATTAAATATAAATAAAAAATAAAACTAATTACACAGTTTAGATAAAATCAACGAGACGAATCTTTTAAGTCTAATTAGATTATGATTGGACACTAATTGTTAAATAACAACGAAAACTGCTATAATGTCATTTTGACAAAATTTTCAGCATCTAAACAGACCCTAAGCCACCGGCTGACGTTGCCTCGTTGCACGAGGAAAACGTTGTACATGACTGATAAACCAAACTGATAATCCAACGTGTATCTCCTACGGAAGGAGCACCAAGGAAGACCAGATCAGCCTCACCCTTGTCATTTCGCCGTTGGATCAGATCCCGTGGCCGGGCCGGCCGCGCCTGCGTCCATATGCGTCCATTTTCCGGTTCATCACTACTAGCACGAGGTTGATAAATAAAAGGACATAATGTGCCGTCGGCAATACGTTGATAGAAGGAAAATGGTGACAACCTAAATGATAGCATAGCCTGCTTTTGACGAGAGACACAAAACTCCGCATACCTTTATGCATAGATGGCTTGTCTCAATCATCTACCCATCTTATACATATGCGTTATTTATCCCTTGATTCTCTTACTCACTTCGTGGTTTTCTTCACGCAATGCATGCTCCTAATAAAGTCGTAATGCTCCTTCTTCACTGTCCATCATAATCCTTAATCATTTATATATATATATATATATATATATATATATATATATATATATATAACTACTACCCTGTAGCTGGCTATAAAATAACTTATTTTTGTAGCCACTTTGAGTTATGATAATTACTATGTAAATTTACGATAGTTGATTATATAACACATTGTAACTCCTTGCTAAGTGGTTTACTATATATATTATATATAAATATATATATATGTATTATATATATATATATATAGAACAACTATAAATAAATAACTGTATTGACATTATTGTAAATTTAGTATATAAAATTATAACATTATGGTAAATATCCCCAATAGTAACCAACTATCGGGTATGGCTATTATCGGAATAACTTATTTTATAGCTGGCTACTGAATATACTCTCACATATATATCTGATATTTGTGCCTAAACCATAAATCCAAATCGACTCTAGACTGTCTTCCAATCTACATGCTTGACTGAGTGAGGATGTGGCATCTTTTATTCACATCATATTCCATTAGATAGAAAGAGCTACAAAAGGTGTACCAGATAGATTTATATAGTAGGCTCAAATAGCGCTTTGACTGATATAGGTAAAAAATTTGCCAATTTACATCCAGGTCTTATCTACTTAGTTGTGGGCATATATATATATACGTGAGAGTATATTCCGTAACTAGCTATAAAATAAGTTATTCCGTAGCCACCTCTATTTACGATAATTTTATATACTAATTTACAATAATATCAATACATATTTACCATAGTTTGGTTACTATAACACATGGAGATATTTACCATAACGTTACAGTAAACCACTTAGTATGGAGTTACTATAATCTCGTAAATTAACATAGTAATTATCATAACTCAAAGTGGGTACAGAATAAGTTATTTTTTAGCCAGCTACATGGTGTGTGTATATATATATATATATATGGAGAATATTCAGTAGCCAGCTACAAAATAAGTTACTCCCTCCATCCCAAATTGTAAGACGTTTGACTTTTTTGCCCCAAGTTTGACCACTCGTCTTATTCAAAAAATTTGTGCAAATATAGTCAAATTTAAGTCATTCTTGAAGAATTTTTATTAATAAACCAAACCACGACGAAAGAAAGTGATATTTTACACAAATTTTTGAATAAGACGAGTGGTCAAACTTAGTGTCAAAAAAGTCAAACGTCTTACAATTTGGGATGGATTGAGTATTCTGTAGCCACATCCATTTACGATAATGTCAATACATATTTACGATAGTTGGGTTACTATAACATATGGGGATATTTACCATAACATTATAGTAAACCACTTAGTAAGGAGTTACTATAATCTCGTAAATTAACATAGTAATTATCGTAACTCAAAGTGGCTATAGAATAAGTTATTTTGTAACCAGCTACAGGGTAGTAGTTATATATATATATATATATATATATATATATATATATATATATATATATATATATATATATATATATATATATATATATATATATATATATATAGCCTGGTGCGGCTTTCTAACTTAAAATTTGTAGGCCTAATTACAGGCAAAGGGTTCGCGTTGTTTTGAACCAGAGGTATAGTACATGATCTACCGAAACCACAAACAATTTACTCAGTTTTTGGTGGAAATGTTGGTGCTCCTCAGCTTCTTCGTAGAACATGATTCTGCACTCGCCCTCTTGGCCAGGTGCTAGTGCTATACCGTGCTAGTAGGTATATAACCACCGCATACCCATCCCCACAAAAACACACACAGAGGGAGAGAGAGAGAGGGAGAGGGAGAGAGGGAGAGCATGGAGGCGCACGTGGAGCGGGCGTTTCGTGCGACGCTGACAGAGGCGGAGGTGCGCGCGCTGGAGTCCACCGTGCGCGAGCACCACACGTTCCCAGGGCGGGCGGCGGCGGGGACGACGACGACGTGCACGTCGCTGGTGGCGCAGCGCGTGTCGGCGCCCGTGCGCGCGGTGTGGCCCATCGTGCGCAGCTTCGGCAACCCGCAGCGGTACAAGCACTTCGTGCGCACCTGCGCGCTGGCCTCTGGGGACGGCGCCAGCGTCGGCAGCGTGCGCGAGGTCACCGTGGTGTCGGGCCTCCCGGCCTCCAGCAGCACGGAGCGCCTTGAGGTGCTGGACGACGACTGCCACATCCTCAGCTTCCGCGTCGTCGGCGGCGACCACCGCCTCCGCAACTACCGCTCCGTCACCTCCGTCACCGAGTTCCAGCCGGGGCCCTACTGCGTCGTCGTGGAGTCCTACGTCGTGGACGTGCCCGAGGGCAACACCGAGGAGGACACCCGGATGTTCACCGACACCGTTGTCAGGCTCAACCTCCAGAAGCTCGCCGCCGTCGCCGAGGAGTCCGCTGCCGCCGCCGCGCCACCGGCAACAGGCGCTAGCTACGGCTCCTCCTGATCGTTCCGCCGCTTGTGGTGGGCGCGCCCGCGCCGCACGGGGCTGGCTTCCGTTGTTACTCTACTTATCTTTTCTGTTCTTTTCCTTACCCCTTTGTTTTTCGTTTTTTTGTCTTTTTTCCCCCCGCCTTTCGGTCTCGTGCATAAAGAGCCTCTGTTGCGGCGTAATATAGCCTAGTACTACTTTTGTTTGGCATATCTCTGTTCGTTTGTCTCTAGCAATCTCTCTCTTCGCTGCTTTGTTGAGATTCTGAGTTCCTGATTGCTACCCACAGGCCACACCGCAGCAAAGCGAGGCTGCACAAAGGATCTCGTGCGACGTGCGTGATGGCGTTTCGTTCTTAATCCTGCAATATTTTACATCACATCTTATGTTCATCATCATTTGCCTTGAACAACATGACAATGATGAACCTCTAGTAAAAATATGATCATCGTAGCCACCACCCATGTTCGACACTCATGGACCATCATCACCTTATTTGCAACTCCACTGGTTTTCGCTTCTGCATATGAAAGTTTAGCTCCGCACCAATATCCTTTGTTTAGCTTCTCCAACAGGTCGAAGTATTGGGGCGATGGAGCCGACATCTCTGATGGCTAACACTGGAAATAGTCCTCTTTACTTTTTTTAAGGTAAGCAAGAAAAGAAAACACAACAAAATAAATACTTTGGGCTCTAAAATGCGGCTTCTTCACCTCGCCGTGATGTGATGTTGGGCGTGTAAACCTTCTAGCTTCTTCTTAATGAAACACGTGCTATACACGTTCTCGAAAAAAAATACGGCTTCTTAAGAGAACAAAAATGAACCAATTACTACAAAAGAAGTGCCCATTTTAGGCCTCCTAATTAAACTTATCGACTTGTTAAAGAATCCTCTTCTTTATATGGTTGAAAGAGAAATATAAAAGCCGTGCCTTATGGCTTTCCAAAATTCTTCAGTTGATTCCCAAAATTCTGAATGGGCAAGTTTTTCTGTCTTTCTAGGTGAGCGAATTCCGACTAATGGAACTGATAAAAAGAGTTATTGCAAAAGCAGTGGCCGCAATTGCTTGGCAGCCAAAGCAGAGCACTAGCTACTTCTCCAAAAGCAACAAGATCCAGCTGTGCACGTTATGACATACTGTATGTCAGTGCACGATCGTTTAAGAAATCAAGCCTCGCTCCTGTCATAAAATAGGGAAAAAAAGTCAGCACCAAAGTATACTCTAAAAGGAGGCACAAATAGTTAGCCGCTGACTTGCTGCTAAATTATTGGGTGACTCTCAGCTGCTTGTTGGGGTCACTAACTAGGGCACCTGCGGTAGTGGGTCGACCCATCTGGGAGAGAGATCGCCATGTGAGCAGCAAAGAGAAATCGACTCCTTGAAAAAAAAGGTCCCACATAATATAATAGGAAATTGCACACAGATTCTTTAAATAGTCTTCTGTTAGCAGCGCGAGGAAGGAGCAGAGAAATCGGAGTTCGGGGAAGAAGAAGCAGAGCAATAGGACGGCAACCAGAGGAATCTCGATTGAGTTTAGAAGGGGTTCATTACAATGTTCATAGCTTTATCAGGCGCACACACACACACGCTTAAGTAGTAGTAAACCTAGCACGCCGTCCCCTTTGCTAGTTGGATCACACACTCTGCCATTTTGGGCCAAAGAGGCGCATGTTCTTCACCTTGGGCCTGGGCTTCCGGCCCGTCTTCTCTTCACCTTTAGAAGCATCACGGACTCCATCTCCTTCCTCAGCCGTTGTCGTACCGTGAACAGGGGCGGTGCTGACACTCCCCCCTCCTTGCGTGCCTGGTTGTTCCCAGACTAGAGCGCGGGGAAACTGTTGATGCGGGGCTTCAAGTTCTTCCTAGGTAGCGAGGGACTCCGGTAGGTGAGACCACTTGATCAGACCCTGCAGGACAGATGAAGTACCTTTGCGAAGTAGGCGACGCTGAATGATGCGCTCCGGCACACTCCAAATCGCTAAATCAGATGGAGGTTCAGCGGTGACCGACTGATGAGCACCCACCGCCTTTTTCAGTTGCGAGACATGAAATACAGGGTGGATAGAAGATGAAGGTGGGAGCTCCAATCGATAGGCCACAGTGCCAATTTTAGCAATCACCCGGTATGGCCCGAAGAAGCGAAAGGCTAGCTTGTGATGAGAGCGGTCAGCGAGAGAAGACTGAACATAGGGTTGGAGCTTTAGATATACCCAATCGTTCAGCTGAAACTGCCTTTCAGAACGACACAGATCAGCAGTCTTCTTCATCCGTTGCTTGGCGCGTAAGAGTTGTTGGCGGATCAGCTCAGTGTGGAGGTCACGATGAGAGCCAGGTAGACAGATCAGTGACTGGAGCATCTTGGGTGGCAGCGATGCCAAAAACATTAGGAGCATAACCATACATTACTTCGAAAGGAGAGTGTCCAATAGCCGAGTGAAAATTCGTGTTGTACCAGAATTCAACGAGATCCAACCAACCACTCCACTGCTTAGGGACTGCATGAGCATAGGACCTGAGAAAGGTCTCTAGGCACTGGTTTACACGTTCGGTTTGACCATCCAACTACGGGTGATATGCAGTGGACATTCGGAGATCAACCTTGGCCAACTTGAAAAGTTCCTGCCACAGCTTGTTGGTGAATATGCGATCACGATCAGAGACTAGCTTGGGGCATGCCGTGTAGCTTATAAACATGAGACAGAAAGAGCTTGGCCTCGGATGCAGCAGTAAAGGGATGTTTCAGGGCCAGAAAGTGAGCATACTTGGAGAAGATATCCACCACCACCAAGATGCAATTGAAAGAGCCTGAAAGTGGAAGACCTTCAATGAAATCCAATGAGATTACCTTCCAAGCATGGTCGGGTACCAGAAGGGGCTGTAGCAGACCCGGCAACTTAGAACGGTCTGGCTTGGCTTGCTGACAGATAGAGCTGGCAGAAATGAAGTGATGCACCGCTGTATTCATCCCCTTCCAAGCAAAGAATTGCTTAAGGCGCCGCATAGTGACCGGAACACCAGAATGTCCTCCAACTGCATTGGAATGCAAAGAAGTGATGATTTGTTCCTGAAGAACAGGGTCATGACCGATCCAGATGCGAGACTTGTACCTCAGAATCCCATTGCTAAAAGTGAAATTAGGGATAGACTGAGCATCCAAAGAGCAATTTGGCGATGATAGACTGAACGTGCTCGTCTTTCTCATAAGAAGTTTCCACGGCTGCAAGCCACTATGGTTGCACTACTAAAATAGCAGCACAGGAATAGCAGCATAGGAACCAACTGGGTAGCGGGACAAGGCTGTTGGCCCACAGGATCACCGGCACGGGTGAGTCGACCACTCACCAGCGTTGCCGACCACACTCTATGGCTAGAGGTAGAAGAAGGGAGGGAGAACAGAGCACACACACACAAATCACAAGCACAAGCGTTGGCCGGAAGCTCTGCAGATGAGATGGCAAACTGAACTCACTCTCTTTACTGAGTTGCAGTGGCAAACTATATATACAACTATATCCATCTAGTCCTAGTACAGCTGCCATACTGCTATAGTGACTAGATGAGATAGCAGGGCTGACTCTGGCGCCTGCCCCTGCTATGGCTACAACGTGGCAGGTGAGCCGTTCGGCGTCTGCCCCTGCAGCGGCTACAGTACCACAGCAGGGAGCCTTTTCGGCGCCGTCTTCCCCTACCGTGTGTTCACACAAGAAAGCAGTAGATTATCTAATAAATTTCCCCCTAATCCTACTGCTAACCCTTGAATACCCTCCATGCCGATCATCTCCTTCAGCTCCGTGAATCGAAGACGGCCGAGCGGCTTGGTGAGGACGTCCGTGAGTTGCCGACCAGTTTCGACGAACTCGATGACGATCTGCCCTCCATCGACACAGTCCCTGAGGAAGTGGAACTTCACGTCGATGTGCTTGCTCCAGTCATGGAGAACCGGATTCTTCGCGAGGGCGATGGCGGGCTGGTTGTCCACCATCAGTGCTGGTGGGTGAGCTTCCACACCGGTCAGCTCGCCCAGCAGTAGCCACACAACTTGGCACACTACTGTGGCTGCCGCTACGTACTCTGCCTCGCACGTAGATAGCGCCACCACCTTCTGTTTCAGCGACAGCCATGAGATTGGAGCCGACCCGAGGAAGACGAGCACACTAGAGGTGCTCCGCTGTCTGTCGATGTCCCCTACCATGTCTGCATCACTGAACACAGTGAGCTGCAGTGTACTTCCGTCGGTCTTGGGGAAGACAATCCCCTAATCCACCATCCCCTTGATGTAGCGCAGTAGCCGCTTCACCGCAGCCCAGTGATCCTCTCTGGGATCCTCCATGAAGCGACTGACGTAGCCCACAGTAAACGCGATGTTCGGCCTCGTGTGGACTAGGTAGCGTAGACCGCCGATGATGCTCCGGTAGAGTGTTGCATCTACCTTCGCCATGGTACTGGCCTTCGTCAGCTTCAGTCGCTCCTCCATCCGAGTCACGCACGGCTTGCACTCAGCCATGCCGCTCTGCTCCAACAGCTTCGAGGCGTACGCGCTCTAACGACGCGTGAGTGCCTCCTTCCCCTGTCTCACCTTGATGCTGAGGTAGTTGGAGAGCGCGCCGAGATCGCTCATTCGAAAACATACCGCCATCTCGCACTTGAAACTATCGATGTCCTCCACACGCGCGCCGGTGATGATCAAGTCGTCCACATACACGCCAACGATGAGCTCCTCCTTCCCCCCTCACCACGTGTAGAGTGCGTGCTTGGTTGCGCATCTCGTGAACCCAAGCTCGCCCAGCGTGGCGTTCCATGCTAGTGGGGCTTGCCGCAACCCGTAGAGTGCCTTGCGCAGTCGGAGCACCCTGTGCTCTGCTCCCTTGACGGCGAAACCCGGAGGTTGTCTGACAAAGACTATCTCCGCCAGCTCACCATTGAGGAAGATCGATTTTATGTCTAGGTGATGGACACGCCAGTCCTTTGCTACTGCCAAAGCTAGTAGCAAATGGACAGACTCCATGCGCGCTA